TGAAAGTTCATGAAGGAAATGGTTTAGAGGTTTTAAAAGTAGTGATTTTTGGTAGAATATAAGGAACTTTCAGGACAGCCAGGAAAATTGGAAGATGAAGAATAGGAAATGTAAACTGAGTACGATCCATCTTAAATTCTTAAGGAAATGCCAAAAGTATTAGGAATTGCTGGCTCCAGTGCTGGTAAACGTTTACACATTACAATAACTGGGAATTTGGGTGTCTCATGAATTGCCTACGGCTAGAGGAAAAGTTTACAAGCACGTGTCAAATATTGCCTCCAGGACACTCATTTTTGCGATGAAAATTTATTAGGACTAAAAATTTCTCTTGAAAACCTGGACAGCCCCTCGCCAACCATAAACACCAAAAGCAAATTATAGACGCAGAGTTGAGCTGTATACCTGGTGGGACCAGAAAGGAATGGTGTACCTGTCGAATGATGGCGAAGTCGACAACAGAAGGTTTCCTAAACCAAAAGTCAGGGAAAACTGATGAGGGTGGACAGTGCTGACTGTGTGTTAGTGCGCGGGATTAGAGGACGTCAGAGCATGTCCTTTGTCGCCTGCAGCCAATCAGTGAAACTGTGCAAAATGATTGACTTCGAACTCTCGAGAGGGTAGGGCCAAGACTCGCGTGGCAGCAACCCGACCGTGAGCGCGGGCAGCCGTCAGAGCGGATCGCAAAAGAGCGTGCGGGGTAGCCTTTCACACGCGAGAAGAAAATTAGAGTCAGTGATAGTGATACTGATCGCGGACTGCCACATACGATGAGTATCTGAAGCCATCTGCAAATGCTACTGTAAAGCGACGCAAAACACGATCAATCGATTTGAGCCGAGATTTGAACAAGAAAACACCAGAATACGATGGAAAGCATGACAAGTTGATTTAGCAACATGACAACACTAGGGCCTATCGAGGAGTGTTAAGGTTAGTAAGGTGTAGCCCTAACGGCTGCGATCTTCCAGACCCAGTTCTTTAGGAGAGGAGGGAAGTCTTTGGAAGGCCAGATTGGTAGTAACAATGTATTCTATTGAGAAGAGAAAGGCTTCTTTGGGAAGGTTGAAACTTTAATGTGTAAATTTTCGAGACAGGTTCCCCACTCCTATGCCCGTATTTCAATACATACAATGTATTCTGTACAGAGGGGTTGGAGAATAGTTAGGAGGAGTTTTGGGTCTGGGACTAGTCCATCCATTCCCTAGTCGGGTCGTGTAGGGAGTGATGTCTGGCGACATTCATCCGAGCGGCCACCGCCAGCTGCCTCT